CGTTATTTGATGCGAGCTACAAAATGAGCCCAATGTTGATATACTTTTGGTCACTCTATAAAAAGTTAAATATTTGGCCCATTTAAAATATAAGAATTTAAAACTTTATTTTAGTCCCTCAACTTTCAAAATCATAAAATTGAATACAAAATTTTATTCTAAAATTTTCGGGGTGCTACAGAGTGCATTGCTTCATATGCCACTATAATGTTATCAGATATCAACCTCCCTGGGACGAATGCGCTCTGAGCTGGTGAAATAATATCAGCTAAAAAGGGTTTTAGTCTGTTAGCCAACACTTTCGATACAATTTTATAGAGAACATTGCAAAGACTAACAGGTCTAAATTCAGACACATATGAAGGACTCTTTTTCTTGGGAATCAAGACAATAAAAGTTTCATTAATCTCGTTGACTCCTTTCCTCGTAACAAAAATCTCTTTAACAGCTGCACAGACTCCTTCTCCAATGGATTCCTAGTTGTCTTGGTAAAAATCAGCAGAGAAACCATCGGGGCCAGGGGAGCTCATCGGATCCATTTCAAAAAGTGCTCGCTTAACTTCTTCATCTGTGCAGGATCTCTGTAGCTGATCATTCATGTCAGAGGAAACCATGGTCTCAAGATCCTGAATCACTTCTTCAATGCCTGTCGGATGAGAGGACGAAAATAAATGTTGGTAGAATAGTTGGAAAGTGTTACCAATCTCATCCTGTGTAGTGGACATTTCCCCTCTGTCATTCAATATACTTCTGATGGTATTTCGTTGTTTCCTTAGGGATGCGCATTTATGGAAATAGGTTGTATTCTTGTCCCCACACTTAAGCCACATTTGTTTAGAGCGTTGCCTCCATTTTATTTCTTCTTCTGCTAGCAGAGCATCAACTTGGTATTGGATGTCTGTAATCCTCCCGTTCAAGTCCCCTTTGTTAACATTCTGCAGTGACGGAAGTTTTTGCAAGTTTACTTTAAGCTCCTTCCTAGCCTCCCTTGCATTGCTCCTGGCCCAGAATTCAAGTTTCTCCCTACATCTCCTTATTCCCTCTTTAAACCAACCAAACGAACTGCTTTGTCCCCCCTGGTGAGACCAGGAACTGTCAATGATATCTTTGCATTCTTGTTTCCCAGACCAAACCGCTTCATACCTGAACAACCTGGAAGCATTGGGTTTCAGCTGGAGAGGACCATTGTTACACTTGATAAGTAAGGGATTGTGGTCCGAGTAAACAACTGGAAGCACCTGCACCTCACAATTACAGAACAGAGAAGGAAAAACTGCATTTGCTAAGGCTCTGTCCAGCCTCTCCTTGGTAAAATGCTTCCCCTCCCTTTTATTACACCATGTGAACTTAGAGCCGACATAACCCAAATCAGTCAATTCACAGTCTTCTAGCACCTTACTAAAATTTTCCATGTGCGAAAATTGTCTAACAGCACCCCCTGACTTCTTATTTGGGTTGAGAATTTCATTAAAATCCCCCATTACGAGCCATGGAGACGGATTCTCCGGGGTTATTCTTCTCATCATCTGCCAACTTTCCCGCCTTCTATCAGCACTTGGATTACCATAAAATCCAGATAAAACCCATGGTGAATTAGAGTTTCCATCCAATATTTTCAGTGAAATATGGTTTTTCGAGAAATTAAGAACAGAAGCATTCACCTCCTTCATCCAAAAAATTGCCAAACCCCCACTTCTCCTATGCAATCCACACCAAAACAAGAATCAAACCTTAATTTGACCCTTATCCTCTCCAATTTACTACTATGAATTTTGGTCTCGGAGAGAAAGACCACATGTAGGAGCTTCACCTTCACCCAGTGGTGAAGTTCACGAACTGTCTGAGGGTTCCCAAGCCCTCGACAGTTCCAGCACACCAGATTCATGGCGATTCTAGTCATCCCAACCACCACAAGATGCAGAAAACCAAGAGGAGAAAAAAAATAAAAAACCCAAGAGATAAAACCTAACCTATGGCAGAGGACTGGTGGAACCACTCTCTGCATCAAGAGGAAAAATTGACTAATTATACAGTGCTTGACCCTCGGCCACTTTATAATGGTCTCTCCAAACTTTCTATCTTCCATCCAAAATGTAGTATTTCTTTCTCGAATTAAGATAGTTGTACATTGAATTTGTACAACTAATTTGACAATATGTGAGGTGTAAAAATTATGGCTAATGATTTGAAAAATAGTTTTTTAGATCAATGGTCAGGATCCTTGTTAACTCACACATTGTCAAATTAATTGTAGAAGTAGCATTATTTTTCTTCCCCTCCATGTATTCCCTATATTAACGACTTCAAGCATTCTCTCTCTCACATCACACACATTGTAATGGACTTCAACCTTTTTAACTCTGGTACTCCCATGGAAATGAAGACCTTGTGAACATATGTGAACCCTCAGAAGACATTTTTTTTCCTTTTTTACTTTCTATAGAAAACAAGTGAGCTTGATGCACTGCTATTTTCCCTATTAATGTTGAGTCGTGAATTAGCTAGGTACTTTCCACTTTATAGAAAGGATGTTCCTTCTTTGTTTCATACTGAAAAAAAACCCCAACCTTTTCACAAATTTCGTGCTTTGTTGAACAGAAAATGTTGAACAATCTGTAAAATTCAATATACAACTGAAACTGAGCTGAAAAGAGAAAAATGTTACAAACTCAACAAGAACCTGTTGACAAAAAAAAAATGAAAAATCGAATCTTGAATTCTTGATCTGGACGACAATTGCTTCAATTCTATTCTTGAATCTCAAACTTGAATCTTGATCTTCAATCTTTAAGCTTCCAATCCTAAGATTTTATTTGGTATTCTTTCTGAGTGTAAATTGCAGTTGGTGTGTGAGCACTTCAACAACAAATTATGAACTCCAAGATTATGGAGCAGATCAAGAAAAATAAGACTATAACTCTATATAAGAGACAACCAGGTCTTGTTATTTCGTCCATTTTGCACATGCAGCTCTTGAACTTTTATTACAAATACAATTAAAACTAGAGCTTTTACTGACCAAAGGGACCTTATCAAACTTTATAATTTTTCTTTTGATATTATACCTAGTTAAGTCAATCAAAGACTGCTTTCTCTACTAACACCGATAAACTAAACTCATAAATTATATCAAAATCACAGAAGCAATATAAATGAATTTCCTGCAATTTATATCCTCTTGACATTGATCTATATGTATTACTCCCATGGAACTAGGGTTGGACATGGTTCGGACCGAACCGAATCGACCCGAAATTTTCAGGTATTTAATAAGTGGAACCGTGGGGTCCAAATTTAATTATGGACTTGTTCGGGTTTGATTTCATTTCATTCAGTTCGGTTCGGTTCCATTCGGTTCTCGAGTTCCATACAATAATTAATTTTTTTAATATTTACAACGCTATATTGATTTAACTAATGATATGTTCAATTTTAGCTCTAACAAAATAACGTAGTCCAATCCCGTGATATCTTTTGCACCTCTTTTTGTTGAGTTTTTCATAGATTTGGTTGTTAAAATTACAGGATGAGGAAGATAGTAAGCTCACAATAATGAAGAAAGGCGCAGTCGAGCTTCCAATTCAATTTTTCCAGAACAGCACTAGGTAGAATAAGAGATTTGAGTAAAATTTAGGTCAACTTTCAATATTGATGGAAAATGAATGACCTTATTCATTACCATATCAAAGAACCTCAAGTTCATGAGTAGCAACTCCTATCCCGTTACGAATTCAGGTAATCCATAATTAATTTTTAGCACGGTCCGTATAAATTAATCAATACTTTATTTGATCCAGTCCATTACACATCCAGGTGTATTAGTTTATTACTCTCGAATGGACAATTGCCATGGTCAAAACAAACTATGTATCCCAATTACTAGGGTAAATGTCCCTTTGATCCAGATAGAATGCTAACCTTTATAAGTCGGTCTAGGATAAATCCTTCTCAATCGAAATAACTTCGCTCAATTGTGATTTAACATATGTTTTGTTAGGTGGTACCTATATTCACATGAAACATATTTACCACCTCAATCCTATCAATCTCTCTTGATAATTTTTCGTAGATGTTTCTCAACCTCCACCTGATACTCTTTGAACATTTTAAAAGTTTTAGGATGTTAGAACATAAAGTATATATTTGTATATCGAGTAGTCAACCATAAAGGTTACAAAGTACACGTACTTTCCTTTCGTAGGTGTACTCACAGAACTACTCACATCAAAATGAACTAAGTCCAAAACATCCTTAGCTCTATATCCTTTAGCTGAGAAAGTCTTTTGGTCTCACATATCGAGTAGTAATCCATAAAGGTGATGATAAATGTATTTTATACACTTATTTGGACTATATTATTATACTTTTATGTCGTCAAATTATTAATTTCTACTTAATTTGGGTTAATTTTCTTTTATTTTTAGTTATGGACTCGTCTTC